TGTTTTTTAGAGAGAGAGAGTGGGGTGGGGGGCAGAGGGAGGGGAAGAGAGAGAATCTTAAGCAGGCTCCACACCCAGCATGAAGCCTGAGCGGGACTCGATCTCATGCCCTTGATATCATGACCTGAGCCGAAATCAAGAATCGGACGCTCCAACGACAGAGACATCCATACACCCCAAGATGAGTGAATGTTATGAAGAAAGTCGAGGAAGCTATGAGAGGTGTCAGTAGGAGGACCTGTCCTGAGGGTAGGAAGCTCCCCTGGGCCAAAGCCTGTTTGCATCACTCCCTGCCTCAACAAAATGAAGAGCCCTGCCAAATGCAGGTCTAGAAGAGACAAATGAGTAGCAAATAATGATGGTGGTGTGATAGGGGACGGAGGGACCTGTATAAAGCGTTCTGCGAACATGAATGAATCAGAAAGACTTTGAGGCCCTTCATGTGGACCCTCTCCCCACCTCGTATAAGCATCCCTTCTAAAACATCCAATCCTAAAAAAACAAACAAAAAAAAAAACAGCTTCTGTGAGAACCCTTCCAATGATGATAATCAGGCCTTTAACAGCCCTTTGCAAAGTGTTCAAAAACACTTGCGTGCACACAATCACAATTGGATTCCCCACATCTCTTTTTAAATGAAGACGTGGAAGGAATGGCCCCAGAAATGACAGATGAATGTTAGTAACAGGGAGGCCCTGGTAGTTTTCTTTTGACACCAAAACAATTTGTAGATAAGAAGAAGAAAAAGAGGGGCGCCTGGGTGGCTCAGTCGGTTGGGCATCTGACTCTTGGCTTTGGCTCAGGTCATGATCTCAGGGTTGTGGATCGAGCCCTGCATCAGGCTCTGTGCTTAGCAAGGAGTCTGCTTAAGATTCTCTCTCCCCCTCCCTTTGCCCCTACCCCCTCTCCCCACACTTGTGCTCATGCGCACAAAAGCATACACACACACACTCTCTCTCTAAAAATAAATCTTTAAAAAAAAAAAAAGAAAAAGAGACAACCCATTTTTAAAACTTCATAACGGAGGATATGCAAATGGGAGATAAACATAAAAGCATGCTGAACTCTGTTAGTCATGGGGAAAGGTACATTAAAATCACAATGAGATATCACTACATACTTGTGACCTCCTTTTCTAACTTTAAAAAAAAAAAAAGCAACCTGATAGTACAACGTGGTGAAGACATGAAAACTAGAACTCTCATGCACTGCAAGTGTGGAGGTAAATTGGCACAACCATTTTGGAAAATGTTGGCAGTATCTACTAAAGCCAGTAATACACATACCCTATCCCCCAGAAATTCCTCTCCTAAATATATACCAACAGAAGGATGTATGTATGCTCACCAAAAGACATGTACAAAATTGCTTACAGATGCACGATCTAAGACTGGAGACAACTCAAATTCTCATCAACAATCAAGTAGATAATTAAATAGTCACATGAGGAACACTACTTAACAATGAAAATGAACAACCCCCCATTATGAACAGCAATATGGGTGAATTTCACAGAAAGACTATAGAGTGAATGAAACCAGGCCCATCAGAATATGCACTGTGTGAGTTCATTTTTAGGAAGTTCAAAATAGGCAAAACTCACAGCGAAAGAAATGATCAACAAAATGAAAAAACAACCAATGGAATGGGAAAAAATATTTGCAAATCCTATATCTGATAAGGGGTTAATATTTAAAATATATAAAGAACTCACACAAGTCAACAGTAAAAAACCAAATAACCCAGCTTGTTAAAAAAAAAAAAAAGTAGGAAGGGAAAAATGAAGGGGGCAGAAATCAGAGGGGGAGACGAACCATGAGAGACTATGGACTCTGAGAAACAAACTGAGGGTTCTAGGGGAGGGGGGTGGGGGCATGGGTTAGCCTGGTGATGGGTATTAAAGAGGGCACATATTGAATGGAGCACTGGGTGTTATACGCAAACAATGAATCATGGAACACTACATCAAAAACTAATGATGTAATGTATGGTGATTAACATTAACAAAATTAAATTAAAAAAAAAAAAACACCGAAGGACCTGACTAGACATTTTTCCAAAGAAGATATATGAATGGCCAACAGGTCTATGAAAAGATGCTCCGCATCACTAATCATCAGGGAAGTGCAAACCAAAACCACAGTGAGATATCACCTTACACCTGTTAGGATGGCATCAGAAAGACAAGAGATAACACTGGTGAGGATGTGGAGGAAGAGGAGCCCTCTTACACTGTTGGTGGGAATGCAAACTGGTGCAACCACGGTGGAAAACAGTATGGAGGTTCCTCAGAAAATTAAAAATAGAAATACCATATGATCCAGCAATTCCATTTCTGGGAAGATATCTGAAGGAAGCAAAAACTCTATGTCAAAGAGATATCTGCACCCTCATGTCACTGCCACAGTGGTTTTTGTTTGTTTTTTAATTTTTTTATTAACAGTTGTTTCAGGGGTACAGGTCTGTGATTCATCAGTCTTACAATTCGCAGCGCTCACCATAGTACCTACCCTCCCCAATGTTCATCACCCAGCCACCCCATCCCTCCCACTCCCCACCACTCCAGCAACCCTCAGTTTGTTTCCTGAGATTAAGAGTCTCTTATGGTTTGTCTCCCTCTTGGGTTTCGTCTTGAGCCACAATGTTTACAATAGCCAAGACGTGGAAACAACCTAAGTGTCATCAATGGGTGAAGAAGGTGTGGAATATATGTACAATGGAATATTATCTAGCCATGGAAAAGGAGGAAATTCTGCCATTTGTAACAACCTGGATGTACCTTGAGGGCTTTAGGCTGAGTGAAATAAATGAGAGGAAAAAAAATACTGTATGATCTCACTTCTATATGAAATGTAAAAAAACAATCAAGAAAACAGCCATAGAAAAAGAGATCAGATTTGTGGTTACCAGAGGCTGGAGGTGGGAGGAGAAGGAATTGGATGAAGGTGGTGGAAGGTACAGACTTCCAGTTATAAGATAAGAAGTACTAGGGATGCAATGATGACTACAGTTAACACTGCTGTATGGTGTATTTGAAAGTTATTAAAGAAAATCCTAAGAGTTCTCATCACAAGGAAAACTTTCTTTTTTTTTTTGCCATCTTTATGAGATGATAAATATTAACTAAGCTTACTGTGGTAACTATTTCACGATACATGTAAGTCAAATCATTATGCTGAATACCTTAAACTTACACAGTGCTGTATGTCAATTATATCTCAAAACTGGAAAGCAGCAACAAAAAATAAAACCAACCTAACAAAAACAATACTTCAAGGAGCTCAACAAGAACAGAAAATTCCAGAGTAATGATTATACCTTAGACAGAAAAAGACTCTTGAACCAAAATAAATATTTGTACTACTTGATTCCTAACACTGAATTGGCCTGGTTGGAAACCAAGGAAATTACTTGACTGTCATAATGGCACCCAACCTAAGAAGATTGTTCTTAACCTATCTTCCATCATGGAGTCTAAAAAAGAGGGTCACTGGTTTTCCAAGCCAACTTGCAGCTGTTCATGTTCTATGTATTTGAGAAAACAGGAAGGCACTTGAGGAGACATCTCATTAACCTGGTTATTGCTGCTTCCTTCCTTTGGCATTGTCGGGTGAGGGTACGATGTTTGGGGTTATGGCAGCCAAGTTGCTAGCCATAAGGAAAAAGCCAGAACTTCAGAGACCCATTGGCCCTATGCCTTGGATGGATCAGCTCTGAAACCACCTGGATCTAGACTCTCATGATGTGTGATAATTAAATGCCTCTGTTATTTTAATAAATTCAATTCACAAATGAAATTCATCTTTGGTGACAGTCAGATATGTGATTACCTTTGGGGGTATACTGACTGGGAGAGGACTTGCCCTGGGTGGTGGTCACTGTGAAAATTTATTAATCAATATACTTACGATTTATGCATTTGTCTATTGCTATGTCATAATTCAATTCTAAAGGGAAAAAGGGAAGTTTATAAAAACAAACAAACAAAAAATACCAAAGGGTAAAGAAAAAGACTGACAGTATATTGGCAATTTTACTTCCTAAATAGCTTTTAAACTCATCCCTTCCTTTCACTCCCTGACCATGAACTTAGGCCAGGCCTCATTAACTCTTTCTTAGTCTCCTGTAATGACCCTGCCTCCGCCTACATTCTCATAAAAATTCCTCCACACAAGGGCCAGAGGGAGCATTCCAAAGCACAAAACTAACCATGTCACTTTCTGCTCAGGGAATAAAATCCTTTGCATGGCATTTATTCTTATTTTAAAATTTCAATTTATTTTAAAAATGTAATATAATACAGAGTTACATAGAAACCATATGCCTACCCCTCAGATATAACAAATTTGCATTTTACCCTATTCCAGATTAAATATTGTTATAATTTAAAAACAAACTGTAAGATAGAATTTAAATTCAGTCCCTTTCTTCCCCACAGTCTGTCCCAAAGGTAACCATTATCCTGAATGCTAGTCCTTTCATGTCAGATCTTAGTTGGCCCAATAGATGGATGCATTCATGAGTAATGTATAGAACTGTTTCATGAGTTTTAAATATGTATATATGTAAAAATTATCAAAATAGTATATATTTTTATAATCTGCTCTAAATACTCAACATTGTGTTTTTGCAATTTATATATGAAGGAACACAGATCTAGAATGTTTATTTTAGCCACTCTGTAGCATCACTGTATGGGTAAACCATTCCTTATTAATCCATTATGATGTTGAAGAACATTCAAGTTGTTTGCAGTTTTTAACTATTATATACAGTGCAGCAATGCATGCCCTTATGTCTCTCTCCTTGTCCAAGTAAGTGAGTTTGAGTCCCGATATACACAGAGATGGAATCACTGGATAGTAGAGTATATACATCCTTTCTTTAACAGTCATCATTGCCAAAATATTCTCAGAAGTAGTTGCATCAAACTTATACTATTATTAACAGCACATGAGAATTCCAATTGATTTTCATCTTCAACAATTGGCATTGTTGGATTGTTAAATTTTAACAATCTGATAAGTATAAATAAGTAAAATCCCTTTGCATTTTAGTTTTCATTTTGGATACTTAATAGGTTGAGCTTGTGTTGTTTATAATTTTTTATGCTGAGCTTATCCATAGCAGGGCTTGTGTTTTCTGTAGGGGTCCCATAGGCCCTGGTCTTTAAAAGTAGTTTTGTCTTTGCTCCTGCTGGGAGGGAGCCCCAAGGATTTCATAGGCCTTAGGCTATGCAAATCTAATCATATTATTTTCTTTTTAAAATTTCTAAAGAAGGATTGCAGGAAAGAGTTGAGACTTCTTAGATACACAAGACTGCATGATTTGACATCTATATACCTCTTGAACATCAACTTCAGCCTCAAGGTATTACCTTGGTTTTATACTTTTCTTTCATTTCAGATTTAGGGAACTTCTACTGATCTGGCCCATGGATTAATGGGGGCATGGAACTATTATACTTTATTCACTGGAGAGAGGTAGTATATTTTATTCAGTATTTCTACCTGTTTTTCTGGGGGAAATAGTTCTATATTAGTGAAGTCTGCCATGTTGCTAGATTTGGAATTTCAGCATGGGACTTGCCTATCCCTCTACCCCTATTTTTTTTTCCCAATGTGTACTTACTTTTCCCCTTGTCCCCTAAAATCCATTCATGCTGAAATGCTTGCAAGTCTCCTAAACTCAAACTACTTTGCTTCTACATATTTAGCTAGTCATCTTCAAGGATTGGATCTGCCTCTACCCTCTCTGGAAAAACTCTGAGCCCAGAGGTTGTGTTGGATGGCTTCTCTGGCCTTCCAACTGCCTTCTTGTTCTGCAACTGACCATATGTCTATCTCATGTATAGACAGAGAACTTGAGGGCAGTGACAATGTCTTATTTTTTCCTTAGGATGGAGAACGGAGGCCAGCACAGAGTAGAAACTCCATAAATAATTTTTGATTGAATAGATGACTAGAGAGTCCCTCTTTTAGCTTATTTATGTGGAAGTTGTGTGTGTGTGTGGGGGGGGGTGATTATATGTGCCAGTATGTATATGTATTTGCAAATACATTATTGTATATTTCTGGATATGCGTGCAAGTATGTGTGTGTGCATCCAAATGTATGTATGTCCATATTTACACTGCTTCTTCTGAGTGGGAGACACCAACTGTTAGGTGGCATTTGTGGAGATGCTGTGATGTTTGTGGTGACAGTGGAGAAGGGAAATAAAGGATAATTGCCACTTTGGTGACCAAACTGTGGAATATGTGGTCCAAGCAGCTCTCAGTCAGAAACTCTCCCTATGGAAGGTGCCTGTTATGGGGGTGGAATCCATTCTACCTAAGCAAACACTGCATTGCTTTTGCATTTAGGGTTTTGGGGGGGGTGGAATGAGTTTTGACATCAATGGACAGCCTCGGTGGACAATGGTTCCTGTGGACCTGATCTCTTTCATGCCGATTAAAACTTATGTGCCAAGTTTTCACTTTTCATTTTCTTTTTAATCCTTTGAGGCCAGCTCCTGCCACACACAGGGCCCCTTTCCATTCCATTAAGCCTCTGCCTTCTATTTCTGTGTGTCTTTTCCTCTCATTACTCTGGGACGTGTGGGCAAACAGAAACTTTCTACCTGCGCTGCCACTCAACATCTTTCTTTCTGCTTGATTCACGGGATGCTGTCTGGGGGTCCACCTTTATTGGCACAGGAGTTCCATGACCATGATATCACCTCTGCACAGTTGGAGGACCCCAGCATGAATCAAGACATCAGAGGAAATGAATGGTGATCCCCCAAGGAGACAAGCTCATAAAGTCCTCATCAGTGACAGCAAAGGAAATTAAGGAAAACCGAGGTCAGAGTTACTAGAGTACAACCAGTGTTTGTTGATTCATTTCTCATTCATTCAATGAATATTCACTGAGCTCCTATGCTGTGACTTTGACATAGTTCCTGCCCTCAAGGAATGTACAGTCTAGCGAGAGAGACTGATATATGGACAAACAGAAAGACAGATGTAAGCCCAGGTTACTATGGAAACCCAGAGAAGGGGAATCCAAATGGCAAGAAGTTCAGAGAGGAAGCAAATTATATACAGTGATAAGGAATGTGGGCTTAGAAGCAGAGAGAGTTGGGTTTAAGTCTCCATTCTGCCACTTAACAGTAGAAGCCACCCACTAACGGAGTCTCCACTTCTTCAGTTGGACATTGGAGACAACATAACTATATGAAATGGGCTGATGATTAAATGACATGAATTTTTAACATAAGGTGTGACTCACTGGAAATATTTAAGTGGAGGATTCTATTCTATTTTATTTTATTTTAGTAATCTCAACACCTAACGTGGGGCTGGAACTCACCTCTCAAATGAATAAATAAAAATTTTTTAAAAAATCTTAAAAAATAAAGAGAATATGTTTAGATTTGCATTTTTTTAAAAATTACTCTGACGCAACTTGATAAGAGTGTCAAGGGTCTTAAGCACATTCATATAATTTGATCTAATAATTTTACTTTTAGGAATTGATCATAAGGAAATAATCAGAGATAAAGACAAAAGTTTATGTGTGAGAATGCACATTGAAGATTGTTTATAATAATCAAATTAGAAACAATCTAAATGTTAAATAATTGGAAAATTATTAAATCCATTATAATACATCCAATTGATGTAATATTTTAAAGCATCTGAATGTATTTGACAACAGTGAAAGGTATAGGAAACTTTCATAATAAAATGTCAACCCAAAAAGAAGAATTCGGAGCTTAAATACGATGGTTCTGGTTTTGGTTTGAAAGAAAGAAAGAAAGAGAGAGAGAGGAGAAGAAAGAAAGAAAGAAAAAAGGGAGGGAAGAAGGGAGGAAGAAACTATAAATAAATAAATAAATAAATAAATAAATAAATAAATGGATTTATCTTTGTGTAGTAGGATTATTGATGATTTCTGTTCAATTTTTCATTTTTTCTGTACTTTCCATAGCTTTAGAATGAATGTGTTGCTTTTACAATTTAAAAATGCTTTTTAAATTATCACTCTTACAGACATTGCACAGAATAGAGGCTTAAGTAGGAGAGAAAGAAAAAAAAAAAAATGAGACAATTGGTTGGCTATTATACTAATCCAGGAGAGAAGGGTAAGATTTTTTGCCAAGGCATACCCAGAGGAGATATATAGAAGCAGGGATAGATTCTAGGAATATCATGAGCTAGAACTGAGAAGATCTCATTGCCTATTAGATATGGGTGACATCACACGGAAGAAATCAGGTTTCTGACTTGCGCAGGCAGGTGGAGTGTGTACTGATGTCTAAGAGAGATGAGATAGGGAAAGGGCAGTTTGGAGGACAGTCATAGATATGGATATGTTGAACTTCAGGTGTTCGTGGGAGGTTGAGTGAACACATCCAGTGAATAATGGAAAAATAGGTCTGCAGTTTGGTTATTCATCCATTCATTCCTTCAACAAATATTTATTGAGTATCTACTATGGTGCCAGAAAATGTTTTGGTTTCCAGCATGTAGCAATGTACAGGACAAAATAGAGCCTGCATTCCAGTAGGGGGCTAGAATCTCTGCCGCAGAGTAGACATCCGGGCTGGATGTAGACCTTTTGGAGCCAACAGCTGGTGGAGATGGTGGACAAGTATATGGACAGAGTGCAGGTGGAGGAAGCCACGAGCAGTGGATGGGATCAGTGGCCCAGTGCAAGAGTGTAGAATGAGAAGTGGGTTTACTGGGGATCAAGGTCAGTCAGGCGACTTCTTTTTCATAGTTTAGGGGATTGGACTGCTTTGATAAATGTCTGCAAACCCCTTAACTATGATGACTTTCTGGCTGTACCTAGCCACCACCTTGTGAAAGGCGGACAAATCACTGTTTCTCTCCTCGATTTGATTGTCTTATCTCTAACATAGAAGTACTATGACTTTAACCTGCATCAATACAATATTCCTGCTTCAGGACCTCTGCCTTCTCTGTTCCTTCTGCCCAGAATGCCCTTCCTTATGTTCTTCCCCTGCTTGGCTCTTTCTTGTCATTTAGGCCTCTGCTTAACTAACACTCCTGCAGAGAGGACTTTCCTGACTCCCCAGTATAAGTCAGTATAAAGCCGGGCCCTTGTTCCTCCAGCACTCTCTTCTAGTCTGGGCCTGGTATTTTACTGATTGTTGGTTCTCCCACACCAAACCAGAATGTGCCATGAGAGTAGGGATCCAGCTTGCCTTATTCTTTGTGACAGTCTGTCTCCTAGAACAGAGCCTGGCTCATAGAAGGCGAGCAGTAATTTTTTAATTATTTTGAATTTAAATTTTGAATTATTTGAATAATTTAGAATGAATAAATGAGAGATTTTCCAACTTTAGGAGTAAACCTTAAAAAAGAATTATTAAACATTTCTAGGTACCAAGTACTTTGTTAAAGTGCTGGGAATACAGAATAAAATCTTATTTGCTTCTTATTTGCAAACAGATCTACAATCTCATGAGAGATACAGACACCTGTGCCGCTATTATAAGGGAGTGAATGAAGGTGGGCAGATGTTTGAGTTGGTGTGAAGAAGGATCTGGAGACGTGTTGTACGCTTGGAGGATGGAACTAGGTAATTTCAGGGCTCCAAATTAGAATACTGAGATTGTGGTATCAACTTGATATTCTGACCCATAGGCTTGATTGATGGAAGAAAAGATAGGATAGGAGAATGGGTCAACTTTTAAGTCTACAGTAGACTGTAAACTTTATATCTGTCTGGTACATCATATACAGATGAATATGCAGAAACATAGGTGATCAGTAAGTATTTTTTGAATTAGAAAAAATCCTATCTCAGGGTGCCTAGGTGGCTCAGTTGGTTAAGCATCTGCCTTTGGCTTAGGTCATGATCTCAGGGTCCTGGGATCGAGCCCTGTGTCGGGCTCCCTGCTTAGCAAGGAGCCTGCTTCTCCCTCTCCCCCTCCCCCACTGCGCAAGCTCGCTCTTTCTCTCTCTCTCTCTCTGAGAGAGAGAGAGAAAGAAAGAAAGAAAGAAAGAAAGAAAGAAAGAAAGAAAGAAAGAAAGAAAAAATTCTTATCTCAGAGCACGTGGGTGGCTCAGTCAGTTAAGCATCTGACTCGATTTTGGCTCAGGTCTTGAACTCAGGGTGGTGAGATCGAGCCCTGTGTGGGCTCCACGCTCAGTGGGGAGTCTGCTAGAGATTCTCTCTCTCTCCCTGTCTCCCTCTGCCCCTCCCCCTGCTCTCTTTCTCTAAAGTAAAAAAATTAATCTTTTAAAAAAAGAAAAAAAATCCTATCTCGGGGTGAAATAAAATTACAGAGTCGGTATATACCTACAGTGGAATGTTATTCAGCCTTAACAAGGAAGTAAATTCTGACACATGCTATAAATGATGAACCTTGAGGACATTATGCTAAGTGAAATAAAACAATCACAAAAGGACAAATGAAGTATGATTTCACTTATATGAAGTATATAAAATAGTCAAAGTAACAGGAAAAAAGTAGAATGGTGGTTGTCGGGCTGGGGGAGGAAAGAACAAAATGGTTAATGGGTATAGAATTTCAGTTTTGCAGGATGAAAAAGTTCTGGCAATTGGTTGTACAACAATGTGAATATACTTAACACTACTGAACTGTACAGTTAAAAATGGTTAAGATGATAAAACTTTATATTATGTATAACTTACTACATTTAAAAGTTAAAAAAAGAAATAAAATTCAGAATGTGTGGCTGGCGATTCAGCTGTGCCTGGATCTGTGTTATTCTGTTCTCTTGAAAAGTTAAAGAACTCAAAATGCCAGTGTTCCCTGTGAGCGTTCCTTCTGCCTCTAGCCCCATGAAGGGGGAAAGGGAAGCTGAGGCTCAGAGAGGTTGTATAGCTTGGGCAAGCTCACACTGCCAACAGAGACTAGGTCTTGTGATTAGAATCTAAGTCTTTTTTTTTTTTTTTAAGGTTTTATTTATTTATTTGACAGAGAGAGAGCGAGAAAGAACAAGCAGGAAGCAGGGGAAGTGGCAGGCAGGGGGAGAGGGAGAAGCAGAGTCCCCAGTGAGCAGAGGACCTGATGCGGGGCTCTATCCCAGGGCCCTGGGATCATGACCTGAGCTGAAGGCAGACACTTAACTGACTGAGCCACCTGGGCGCCCCTAGAATCCAAATCTTGACTCCAGTTCAGTGCTGTTCCCATCCCACTGGCAGTCAGGATCAGGGTCAAGATTAAGGTCAGGGTCAGGGTCAGTGTCAGCCTTTGCAGCCACCTCTCACATCCTGATGCTGCCCGGAGTTCCACTGTTTTCACCACAGCAGACAGAAAATGCATTATTCCTTTGACATCTCTGCCTAAATGTCTAATATGCACCTCACACTGCCCCAAACTGATTTGTCATCCAGTGATACACATTTGAAAATCATTTTTTTAAAAGATTTTATTTATTTATTTGACAGAGAGAGAGACAGCAAGAGAGGGAACACAAGCAGGGGGAGTGGGAGAGGGAGAAGCAGGCTTCCCGCCGAGCAGGGAGCCCGATGCGGGGCTCGATCCCAGGACCCTGGGATCATGACCTGAGCCGAAGGCAGACGCTTAATGACTGAGTCACCCAGGCACCCCTGAAAATAATTTTTGATGATAGTTCACTATGTGGTTTTTGGAATATGCCTTAGAAGGAATTCAAAGAATTGAGTCACATTCCTTTAACAAACTCTTTCCCCATGTACTTATTTTTGAGAATAAGGTTTCTCAGTGCTGACATCTGTAAATATGAAAAATAGGAACAGAATTGAAGCTTAAATGTATACCAATGGGTACATGAACTGAGTAAAGAAAATCCTCATATATTTCATTATGAGATTCATTTCCAATCAAATTTTACTTTGTGTTTAAGAATTATTTTTAAAAATCCATAATGTATTTGTTTTGATCAATTGTGTGCTATTGATTATTATAATTCAGATGGAATTTTTTAATACTTAGAACCACATGGATACAGGAAACACAACATTTTACATTTCCATTTATATCCACATTTTTGTTAGATATATGGTATGATGATGAATAAATGACTTTCAATCAAATAATCTTCACTAGGCTAAGATTCTGGAGTGGAGGCAAATGGGATAAAAATATGAGTTCAAGGAATAAAAGGAAGTATGTAAAATTTATGAGTCTTTAGTTCTTTCATCCATTTTTTAAGTAAATGTAAGCATCAGAATGCTATATTTAAATTCAGCTGGATACACCTGAAAAACTAAATACTTTTATAATTTCAATATTTACAAATTACCATAAATTACCATGTTTGTAACTATTTAAACTTAAAATGAACAATTTTTTTTTCAGATTTGTGAATTTATTTGTGGTAAAGTTCATATGATGGCTTAAAAAATTAGATTCTATTGTGCATTTACATAATTCTCTTGATTAAAATAATTAAAAGTATATGACATTGAGTGCTAGGAAACTCCTGGTGGCCATTCATGTAAACTAAATGCCGTGCATGACATATACAAATGTATATATATGTCAGGGATTCAGGGATAGATGAGATCATAAGTATAAAATGAACAATTTAACTTTTTAAATGTTAAAAAAAGATTTTATTTATTTATTTGACAGAGAGAGAGCAGCAGGGGGCGAGGGAGAAGCAGACTCCCCACTGAGCAGGGAGCCTGATGCTGGACTTCATTCTAGGATCTCCGATCATGACCTGAGCGGAAGGCAGACCCTTAACCAGCTGAACCACCCAGGCGACCCTAAAATGAACAATTTTAAAGATTTATTTATTTATTTATTTGAGAGAGAGAATGAGAGAGAGAGCACATGAGAGGGAGGAGGGTCAGAGGGAGAAGCAGACTCCCTGCTGAGCAGGGAGCCCGATGCGGGACTTGATTCCGGGACTCCAGGATCATGACCTGAGCCGAAGGCAGTCGCTCAACCAACTGAGCCACCCAGGCGACCCCATAGCTCTATTTCTTTTTTTTTTTTTTTAAGATTTTATTTATTTATTTGAGAGAGAGAGAATGAGAGAGAGCACATGAGAGGGGGGAGGGTCAGAGGGAGAAGCAGACTCCCTGCTGAGGAGGGAGCCTGATGCGGGACTCGATCCCGGGACTCCAGGATCATGACCTGAGCCGAAGGCAGTCGCTCAACCAACTGAGCCACCCAGGCGACCCCATAGCTCTCTTTCTTTTTTTTTTTTTAAAGATTTTATTTATTTATTTGAGAGAGAATGAGAGACAGAGAGCATGAGAGGGAGGAGGGTCAGAGGGAGAAGCAGACTCCCTGCTGAGCAAGGAGCCCGATGCGGGACTCGATCCCGGGACTCCAGGATCATGACCTGAGGCGAAGGCAGTCGCTTAACCAACTGAGCCACCCAGGCGCCCCCAAAATGAACAGTTTTAGACACTAACTTAAAAATGTGCTTTAGAGTACCTAATTTTTCCATATTCTTTCGGAGGGCGGGTGAACCGAACAAGCTTGACCACCACTGTAATATAAGGTTCTTGATGAGTTGCTCCCTAAAGGGTGCAGAGCAACGGGTAGGAAGCTGGAGGGACAGGGAACCAGAAGAGATTTTTGTTTCTGGTTTGGCTTTGCTTTGCTTTTGTTTCTAAAGGAGAAAATCTGTGCGCCAAGGAGAATGATTTAGGCGAGAGGGGCACGTGACAGGGTGGGCGGGAAGAGCGTGGGCGCGGAGTGCCAGCGGAGGCGAGGCCTAGGAAGGCGGCCAGGGCCACCTGCAGACCCCCAGGCGCGAGGGCGGCCAGAAGGCCGGCTCAGGCCGAGCGCCCACGTGGATGCGGGGGGCGGGCCTCGGCGGCACGTGGCCCACGTGGCCGGACTGCGACTACTTCCGCAGTAAAATGGCGGCAAGACCCGGTGCTGTGAGGCGGGGGGAGGAGGTGTTGGGCTGGGAAGAGAGAAGATGTCAACGGTCCTTTGGATTAGTGCGGAGGAATCCCCTCGGGAAACGAGGTAGACTTGGAGTTGGTGACAGGAATTTATTGAGACCAGTCAGCAAGGTGCTGTGCTCCGGGGCCGCGTCCCGAGGCCGGCGCAGGTGAGGGCGGACGGGAGGTGGGTTTTAACCAGCGTGGGGGTTGGCACGGGCACAGGGTGTTGGTGGGGGGCGGGGAACGGGGTTGAGGCCCCGCAAAGGTGATGGAGGCTGGCCTTGGAGCTGCGGAAGGAGTGAAAGGGCGGCATAGAGCTGCGTGATGGGAGCGGTGGCTCTCTGAATCTGAGGGTGCAGGAGGGATTTTTATATTCTATACATAATTTTTTTCTCCCAAGAGCACTTTGTGACTCTCCAATTCTCCTTTTCCCTTTTGTAGTAGCCTCTGCGTCGCTTTCCCGTGTGGAGTATCTTCTGACTTCCGGGAGGAGGTGAGTGGTGTTTCTCCCAGGGTTACCTCCGCCGCCCGAGAGGCCCGCGCCTTGTGGTTCGCCTCTGCCCGCTTTCCCGCGCGCCCGCCGCCCCGGTGGCCGAGCACTGCGGCGGCGGGAGGCGGAAGGAGGCGCTGATTGGAAGCCCGCGCGGGGGGGCGGGGCCTGTCCCGCGTGCCGGGGGCGGCGACCCCGCGGTGAGCCCGGTGTGCGCTCCGGAGCCCTCGGTGCCGCGTCGGGGGTCTGGGGCCCGGGCGTGCGGCCGGCTGGGCCCCAATTCCCTGCTTCTCAGCCCCGCCCCCGCGGTTTAGACTGCGAGCGCTGAATGCTGTGTGTGCAGCGGCGGTGCGCTTGTCTGCTGCGGCCTCGGGGGGGGACGGGGGAGGGCGGGGCCGGCACGGGCCCAATGGGAGCAGCCCAGGGCTTCCAGCCCCGCCTGGCTTTGAGAGGACCGGGGTCAGAAGAGTGGTGGAAAGCTAACTCTTTGTGGAGGCGCGGCGGCGGGAGGCTTTGGATTTCCAAGCTGCTCGGAGCACTGCGTGCGGCCCTCCAGCAGTGTATTTTGGGCTGTCTTTGTGCCACGCCCGGGGTCGTTTCCAGACAGAAAAGCGACTTCCAGCCTTTTCAAGTGACTCTGTCGTGCCCCAGCTCTTGGCCGTCCCTGCATGGAATCCTCACAACCCTATGATGTAGATATCAGTCTGCTTCTTTTTAGATAAGGGTTGAAGTGACGTCCCGAATATCATCTAGAGGGTAGGGACAGAATTCGGGTTGGCCCAGATCTGCCTTGATAGCCTAGGCACTTTGTAATACTCCACCTGCGCCATGCCCTCCAGGGGTACCTGCTTTGCTGGGTGGGGAGAGGAGAGAAACTAATGATTAGTGAAGTAGTAAGTGCTATATCTGGTGAATGCTATGCTAAAGGCAAGGGAAGATGCCAGTGGTCATTTTTGTGTGTTTGCCCGTTTCCCTGTGATTCGGCAAAGCATCCCCAGATGAAATTAAATGTAACCTGGTCAATGAGGATGAGTAGGGAGTTCACGGCAGAGACAGATGCTTCAGGCCCAAGGGAGCAGGAGGTTCCAAGGGCAGATACAGATGCTTCAGGCCCAAGGGAGCAGGAGGTTCCAAGGGCAGATATCGGGACCCTCAGAATGGAATGACTAGAAGACCCTTAGGGATCCCCTATCCTTTCATTTCACTGAGGAAATAAATGGAGGCCCAGAGAGGGTAAGGAATTATTTAAGATCCCCAAACCGTCCTGGAATGCAGGTTCTCTGCCCTTTATGCAGTGTTCTGGCTTTCTTAATAATTTAAGGTTAGACTTATCCTGTAAGAGTAGTTCACACTTGTTTAGTACTTACTGAATAAGTACTTTATTATATACTTTAGTTTCTTTTAGTTCCTGTAACAACTCCATGAGGTATTTGGGCAAAATACGGTATTTTTTACAAGTATTTTACAAAAGAGAAAATTGAGACACAAGTAACTTACCTAAAATCACACTGCAAATCTCAGCCCAGAGCCCAGGCTCTTTACTCCTCTGTTATCTTTAGAGATAAGTAGATAAGGAAAGAAGGGTATGACAAAACAAACAAGCAGAAACCTTTCAGAGTAGAAATGTGTATCATCCTCTTATTCAGATGAGGACCTGAGGCTCAGAGATGTTCGGTGATTTGCCCAAGGTCACAGAGTGAGAAGGCGGTGGAGTCCGACTGGAGACCAGGCCTGGATTCTCTCTGCTCCACCTAGCACACCCCACCTTAGTTAGGGAGGCAATCAGAGCCCTCCTCTTGACTCACATCTTTCTGACACTGCCTTGGGGATATTGGCCTCTGCAGGCAAAATAGCTCTAGTCCTGGCCCAGTTGTATGGTCAGATATCACTTTTCCCATGAGGAATTTCCGACTCAAACAGGACAGGGACCTGGGTCTTCTGGCTTCCAATGTGGTGATTTTCTGCATTCCTCCTCACTTTCTCCTGTGCAGCATGTCCTCAGGGGATCTGGATCACATTATCCCAAAAAACCCAAGTGTGAGATGCTTTTAGCTCTGGGACCCTTTAGAGAAGCCAGTTGGTAAAGCAACTTTGATTTAGGTTTGCATGTTAAGAATCAAGGGGGCAAAGCCTGGTCAGGACAGCCTGCACTGGAGGCATGGGGCCTGCTGGAACTCAGTTAGCACCTCTTAAATCTGGGTGAAGAGTGACGAATAGAGTTATGAATTGGGGGTGGAAAAATGAGCCCCCCTCCCAAGTATTTCTCTTCATGAGTAACCCTCACTGACCTAGTGAAAAAGATGCGTGAGACTTCTCAAAATTAATTTAGCTCCTCTGGCTTGTCTTCACTGCTAACTTAGGTGTCTCTGAAGGCTTGGCTTCTAGAAGGGTTATTTAGAAGAAAAGAGGGCTTCTAACGTGGAAGGCAGCTCTGGACTCAATTCCAGGAGGTCTGGGGGGCTTGAGCCAGTGCTGCCAATCACTGGCTGTGTGACCCTGTGAAAGGCAGTTCCTTCTCTAGAGCTCAGTCATTATTCACTCAGTCATTCAGTAAACATTTCTTGAACCCCCACTGTGGATCTGGCACGGTTCTAATGGATGAGACAACTTATAACAAGACAGTCCTACAGGGGGAGAACTCACAGCCTCGAGGGGAGAAGAGACAAGATCAGACATTGTTAGTGGATCCTCAACTACTCTGGGGTATGGGCAAAGGCCCCCCGGAGGAACTGATGTCCACAGGGCCACAACAACCCTTATGAAACCTTCATGAAAATTTGAAAAAGGTGCCCCCCCCCCCTTTTTTCTGGGCAAATGCAGCCCCATACCGGAGCGCACAGCTTGGCCAGCAGAGCCCAAGCAGGTATTTTGCTTCCAGTCGCCCCCTCAGCTGGTCACGCCTGCCTGGTGAACAGCTTGCAGATCTGACCACCGCAGCCCTGAATGCCAAGATTGAGGTGTAAAGGTCCAGTAGAAGGCAAAGGTGGAAGAGTCCATTTCAGGCTGAGGAATGAGCATGTTTAAAACCTGCAGGCTTGGGAAAGCACTTCCGTCACTGGGGGACCTATGGTGTTCAGTGTGACTAGAAGGGAGAGTGAGTGGTGCTCTGGGGGAATTGAGGAGACTAGGTTGGAAGGATCGGCAGAGCCATTTATTCACTCATGAAGTAAATAATCAGTGGGTGTCACTCTCAGTTTAGTGTTGTAAACATGAGGGAAATAGTAGTGAACAAAGTCCACATAATCCCCTGCCCTGGAGGAATTTACATTTTAGCGAGATGATGGGCCTCTGGTGTCTATTACAGTATCATAAGGGACCTTCCCTCTAGCATTGTATGTAATGAGATAATGTGTGTAAAAAGCCCTTTGAGAACTGGGAACTTCTGCATCATTCCTATGAATAAACACTTCTAATCTTAACCCGTGTGGCCAACACCAGGGCCCAAGCATTTGGTGGCCTGTTCTTGACACCAGGCACTTACCTGATTGTTTCTTCAGGGCAGAAGTGACCTTTGGTCGTGATCGCAATGCTACAGGAATTATGACCTTCCCTCCATCTGCTGTCACCGCCATCCTGACCTGGAAAGAAATCCCCTCTCTCTGGGTCAGCTGAGCAGGCTGGGTGACCCGTGACTTTCTGGGGCCTGTATGGGAATTCACCGGGCTCATCCTTAGACTCTGACCACCTGTGGTGGTCAAAGGTTCTTTCTCTTCTGGTTGAAATACCAATGGAGTTGAGAGGGTCACTATGAACGAAAGGGAAGCTCCATCTCTGTGGTAAGAGTGGGCTGAGGGACTCCAGGAGTCTTGTCAGGTTGTCCCTGGGTTAGAAGCTGTGTGGTCTGTTCGGTAGCTCTGATTCAGGTGAAGAGGCTGATTTTTAGGCCTGGGAACTTGGCTGCTTCTCACTGTGCGGTTGTGGGCAAGTCACTTCCTCTTTCTGGATACTAGTTCCTTCCTCTATTAACCAGAAGGTTTCACTTATTGAAATGTGAACAACAGAGCTCTTTGAACTCTTGTGTGGGCCCTCAGTGTGGAATCCAGATGAAAACAGTGGTATTGTGGTTGAGGCAGGTTTGGGCCCTGGAGTTCTCCTGATTTCAACTGCACCTTGTCCTTACTCATCCTCTCAGGACCTCTGGCTCTACTAGATATTGCCCTGAAGTCATATTGGAATTTAGTTTGAAACAATTGGACTCAACATTTTCCCTCTAAATTGGCTCCTCTGGTCCCTGGGCTTAAGGTGGGGGCGAGGGCAATTAAAAAGTGTTGTGATCATTTTTATAATTTCACATATACATTAAATGATTATCCAGCCCTTTCTCCACTCAATGTAAACATAATCCTGCTTATCTAGATGACCCTCCCTCACCCCTTTTTTCCATGGACAGACATGAGATTTAAGCAGCCCCCTTGGCGTTTATATGTATGAGTGTGGCAACACCCTGAAAACATCTAAAATGTTCCCCATTTCACTTTCTGTGCAGTGTGTTTCCCAAATTGGGGAACCTCTGAATTTTTTTTTTTCTTTAAAAGGGATGTATTTGTTAGAAGACAGTGGCATAAACAAGTAGGAATTTATTTCTCTCCTATAAAGTCCAGCTAGGCGCCCCAGGGCTAGAATGATGGCTTCTTAAGCGTCAGGATCTCAGCTTTTTCCATCATGTTGCTCTGTAGTCCTCAACACATGCCTTCCATCTTGTGATCCAAGATGGCGGTTCTAGTTCCTGCCGTCAAGTCTGTATTCCATCCAGTAGGAAGGAGGATGGGAGGAAAGGTGAGAGTCTAGCATTTCCTTTTAAGGGCAGAAGTTGCACATGTCATTTCTTTTCACATCCCCCTGCCCATAATTTGGTCATGTGTCCACCCCTACCTTCAAGGAAGGCTAAGAAATCTCTTTAGCTGGGCATCCTTGTGACCAACTAAAAATTTTTTCACTATGA